GGCTACGCGTAAAAAACGAAACCAAGGAACAGTAAGTAAATTTAGTCAGAGAAAAACCTGTCACTTTATGAATTTCTATCTTCTTTATGTCTCATTATGCGAAACCCCCGTATGAAACCTCCTGAGTGTGCCACTGTTGTCGGAGAATGGCATTGTGAACTCGCCATTACCGTTGCTCCTGCACGAAACAGTCATCATGGCCTCCACGGAATAGAATCGTCACCCCTCGCAACCACGCGCAGCAGACCAGGAACATGAACCACCGTGCCATCGCCGACGACCAATGTGCAGACGCGTCCTTGCTCTCGACGACTATCATCGTGAGCACGCCGTTGCCGAAAAATAGTTTGATTCCATCGCAGAGAAGAAGATTGGCAGGATTTGAAAAGCGAAAAATATGGTGGATTGCTTGGCAACAATGATAATATGAAAACAGGATTAGAGATTTTCCATTCTTAGGGTTTTATTATCACCAGGATTCAAAACCTCGTTCACGGGTAATCGCGAGGGATAAAATCTGATTTAGGATTTTACTACCGTAAGTGCAAAACAGAATTAATCATTATTTTCATAATTAGAGTTCCATAGGTTAAACAAAATCTGAAGTCTTAAAAGTTAATTTCTAAATATAGACATGAAATAAGTATGGGTTGCTCTGATACCAATACCAATGTAGAGAAATTATAATTATGATACTGATTTTGATTCTAACGATTAAACATAAACATTATCTCATACTCATAAACATGTTGTAAACTAAATGCGAAAACGTACCTGAATTAACCATAATGATGATATCCCTTGTAGAACACTATTGATCTTATGGTCTCACTTTTGAAGAGCAACTGTATTTTACTCTTTATATTTTCTCTCTTGATGAGGATAAAAAGAAAGGAACGGGAACTGAGACTTATGAGACTTACGTTTTGTGTATGTTCTCAGAAGGGGACCATGACTCTTTAAATAACTAGAATTAGGTTAATTACTTAAGTTTTAATATTTCTAATTTGACCACTCATCAAATTAAAAATTATTTTATGGTCTCTACACAATTTTATTTTAATGACATATATGTTTTTAGCCAAAATTTTAATTTAGTCAAATAACTTTCTTATTTGGCTTAATAAATAATGGTCATAACACAGCTTAAATTATATATTATATATATACATGACCCAAAATTTGCCAACACTAATGACTTTTGACTTTTAAAAATTTGAAAAAAAAAACATTTATTAAAATTTAGTGTGGTAATTTGTGTGAATATTTAAATCCAATAATTTATTATTATATTTATTCCTAACTTTACATTAAAGATGAGATGTATAAATTTCTAATTCTTGTTAGCATAGGCAAAAATGATGTCATTTAACAATTGGTACATGTAAACAGTTGTTTGAAATAGACGCGATGGTAATTTAAAAATTATTTTTAACTTTTTAATGATGGTTCATTTATAATCATCTTTAAATATGATAAATGACGATAATTATAAGTAAAATCATCATCATATGTCACATACGATACTGATTATAGAAAAATTATCTTCATATGTTACATATGATGGTTATAGAAAAATCATTGTCATATGTCATATACGACAACTATAGAATCGTTGTCATATTTTTATTCATTTTATCTTTGCATTTCCATTTCTCTTTCATTTTTCTCTTCTCCTCCTCTTGTAACTCTACTCTTCTTCTTTTTTTTTTTTTTTTCTGAAAGTGTTTCTTTCCACAATAAATGTCTCCATCACATATGTCTATAACACACTTAAAGTTGTCAAAGGGAGAACAATGGTGAAAAACAACATTTTTTTTAGACAGAGGTAGAGAACAATGTTTTGGCTGAGAAGATAGAGAAAAACATTTGATTGGATATGTTGAAACTAAGTTAGAAGAGCAATAATGAGGGAGCAGAGTTATTATGACAAAGCTTTTAATTTTGTTGTATTGTTTATCTATTTAGTGTAGCGAAACTTCTAGGTTTATTATAACATAACAAAATGAGAATTTTAACAAATGACTTATAATTCAAAATCATAATTAATTTATTAATTCTTAACGACAGATGAAATAATGACAATTCAAAAATTGTTGTTATAATATTTTTTAACTATCATATAATAGGTTATTTCTAGTAGCGTCGGACTATTATTAAAATTTCAGTAAATTGTTTTTCTTGGATTTTTATCAATTGGTTTTAATAAAGTTGAGGCGATGTTGCATACAATTTCAACGTTGGTTGGTTAAAATATAACGTTAAAAGTTAAATTTTGAACACATTATAAAACTGAGACGACGTTGCATACAATTTCAACGTTGGTTGGTTAAAAAACAACGTTAAAAGTTGAATTTTGAATACATTATAAAACTGAGTCTACGTCGATTTTTAATCAACCAATGTAGAAAATACTTTCAACATCGGTTCCCAGGTGAACCGACACATAAAATGTTTTTATTTTTTTTCAGCCAAAAATTCGCTTAAGTTCTATCATTGGCAAAATTTGAACCTAGTATCTTAGAGTTGAAGACTGATACTCCAACCACTAAGCTACTAAGATTTTCTAATAAAAATTTACAAATAAATTATATTTATATACAAATAAATGTATATTCATGTAAATATATAAATATAAAATATATAAATACAAATATATTTATATATTTATATAATTATATATTTATATGTTGGATGTAAGGGTGCGCTCAAGGTTGAAAGCTTGAGCGAAAATACGTTAAAGCTCATGGAAATTTACTAGCTCAAGCGAAAATTAGTATTTTTCGCTTGAGCGAATGACGCGTTTCCCAAATTTATTTTATATTATTATATAAATAAATTATAAAGATTATATTTTGTCATTAAATTACAAACTCATATAAAGAGACTCGCTCACATATTTAGCATCAAATTTTGAAAATCCACTCGACACACACTTTCACCTTCGAGCGTGCCCTCACATCCAACATATAAATATATAAATATATAAATATATCAAAATATATAAATATATTTAAATTTATATATTTTATATTTATATATTTACACGAATATATATTTATTTTATATAAATATAATTTATTTGTAAGTTATTATAAAAAAAAATTTAGTAATTTAGTGGTTGAAGTATCGCCTTCAACTCTAAGGTATTGGGTTCAAATTATATCAGTGACAACTTTTTTTAAAATTTAATTTGATAATAATTCAAACTTCTAAAAAAATATAATAAAAAAAAAAATATATATATATATATATATATGATGTTCATTACCCAAGTTAAAACCATGGATTTGTGATTGAGGAGGTGATTAGGGCAGAGTTTTAAAACAAATCACAGACCAAACAAACTCTTAGAATTTTTTATTTTTTTTTTAGTTGAATAAAGAATATTGTCAAACCTAGGCTGACTAAACTAAAGATAAGTTTATAAAGAACTTTAAAATCTTTTTTTTCTAGCTTGGCCATTCATTGTAGGTTTTGCCTCCAACCTTAGAAGTGGACATAAACTCTAAATAAGGAAAAATTGGAGGCTTTTCTTCTTGTCTTTGAACCGCTACTCATTTCTTAGTTTTCTATCCCTGGGTTTGTAATAAAAGTTACATGAAGTAAATAGGAGAAAAAAATATCTATAATAGAACTTAATTAAAATTATTAACACTTTTAGTGGCTAATATTATGACCCATTTTTGTTATTTATGTTTTGTCATTGCCTGGTGCCATGTGAGGCAAATCGTTGAGCTCAGTTGAAAAAAAAATTCATAAACCCTCCCATCCTTCCAACAAAAAGTCGCAATCGCATTGCATGACATCTTCGCTAAGAGACCATAACTTGCATGACGGAAACGTTTATCCAAGGCTAAACCTAATCCGCGAAACTAAATTTGCACCTTACAGATATGTACCATTTGTAATATAAGCCCCATCTTAAATAATGACAAAAATAGCCACGATACGAAGCTTTGGTGGGGCAAAACGATGAAGGTGAGGTGACACTTTCCATATGCAGTTTCCATCTTTTACTGGCCCTATCTCTGTTGTTAATGGAACAACTTAAAGAAGGAAAAGTAATAAACTCATCATTTGTTTAGAATAGAGACATGACAAAAATATATCATTGTTAATTTAAGAAACACGATTAGCAGTAAGAAAATTGATTAAACACCCTTTATATAGCGTTGTGATTGGTTCTTACGTTTCTTTCACTCCCTCTTTCTTCCCATTTATATATTTTTAGACGCAAGCCTTTGAATGGCTGGTTTTGAATTCGGTAAACTGGTACGAAAACTAATCGTGCAAAACAGAAAAGCTGTTAATTTGATTAGTTTTACTGATCTTTCAGCTTGTATGATGACAATTTTTTGAAAGTTTTGAATTGCACAAGCTAAATTGTAGTTTAGACTTTGGTTTCAGATTCCTTCCCCACCTCACCTTGAAATGAAGACACATTCTGGAATGGACTTTATAGTCACCCTCGGTCATCCATGCAAAACGAGGAAAGATACATGAGGACCACACATCGTTTAATTCAGAACAGAAAAATCAAACAATCATGGACCATCTTGAAGCAATGCAGTGACCACAGCAACAGATAAATCCGAACGCGACACAGTTAAATAGACACGGAACAACGATCTCGCTCACGAAACAGTTCTTCACTACACGTGATCCTATCATCTCAACGTCGCACGATACATCGTTCCAAAATTCCCGAAAATAGGACAAAAAAACGACAGGGATCGACATGAAATTAAACGCGAGAACCACAGCCACATCACATTAGCGCACATGTAGGATAGAGGATCATGTAATGGAACACTTCAAATTAGATACACAAATTAACATGGGCATGCATGTCTGTTCAGATACCGCAAATTGTAAACATATATAAATAAATACACACATAGTGACGAGGATATACAAATTCCAATCCACCATGTATGAGCAAATTAAAGATCCATCGAACACGATATTAAGGTTGTCTCCATGTGGTTTGGTCGGAATTACAGGTTTGAGGAGCTCCTGAATGACCCGAGAGCTTTTCCCGCTTGTGCCCTCAACACGTATTGGTGGTAGAATGCAGCAATGGCTGCACCGATGAAAGGTCCTACCCAAAAGATCCACTGAACAACTCCAAAACAATTTTCAGAACCCAATTAATTAACTTATACACCAACCATCCATCCATCCATACATACATACATACATACATACATACATATATATATATATATATATATATATATATATAAGAAAAAAGTTAAGAAATTAGTTACGACATTTAGTAGCAAAAAAATTGCTTTTTTGTCATTACTGTAGGTTATAAATATTTTAATGATTTCTGTTCTTAGTAGTATATAGCTACTATTCTCTCTTCAACTTATTTGTCTTTTCTTCAAGTTATTTATTTTGTTAATTACTTTTTTACTAAAATATAATTAATTACTTTACAACTTTATTAGTTAAGAAATAAATGCATAATAAATACTGTAAATTCATTAAGATAATAGTTAGCATTAATTATTAATTAGGTCGAAAGTAATTAAGTGATGAAAGTGATCTTATTAACCTTGATTTAAGGGTAATTTGAAAAGATATTATACATTAATAAAAAATTCAATGTCATTAACTAGATTATAATCAATTTATTAAATTATTATTAAATTTATGAATAATTTAATTAATAAGTTGATTAAGAAATAAATAATATAAATTATTAATTAAATTTATAATAGTAATAAATACGAACATATTAATTGAATATGAACATTTATGATTTATTATTATTTTTAACATTTTTTTCTCTTTTTTATCTTCATGCATACTATTTTTTTCATAGAAAAAAAAATAGTAATTTTTAATTACATCCAAAAAGATTAATTATTTTAAAACCATTTCAACAAACTTATCCAAATAAAAACTTATCCAATTGTGATGGATTATAACGAGAAATTATACATATAATAGTTATTAACCTAGTTATTTGAAGCGCATCCACTGTGAAATTAACATAAAAGTTAACTCAGAGAAAACGGGAATTAAATATGTGCATGTATCTCATACCTGGTCATCCCATGCCTTCTCGTTGTTGAATATGACAGCAGGGCCAAGGCTTCTAGCGGGGTTGATGCCAGTGCCGGTTACGGGGATGGTGGCCAAGTGAACCATGAACACCGCGAACCCAATCGGAAGTGGGGCCAAAACCTGCATATAAAAAATCTAATTAAAGTAATTGAATTCACAGTGAATAAAAGTTCATTTTTTTTCAACATGAACGGTTTTATGACTTCAATCCTTTTCCTCATATTAATCTGGTTCCAACAAGAAAATATTAAGCAAGAGTTATTTTTTCAGTATTCAAACTAAAACGAAATTCAAATGGGAGGGATAGTTAGTCAGTGAAAATAAAAACAAAAACAAACGTACGGGAACATGGGAATCTCTGGCTTTTCTCTTGGGATCGGTGGCGGAGAAGACGGTGTAGACAAGAAGAAAGGTGCCAATAATCTCGGCGCCCAAGCCAGTCCCTTTGCTGTACCCATCGGAGAGCAAGTTCACGCCACCCTTGTACCTGTTGTAGTAGCTCGACTGAAACGCCTTCACCAGCCCCACGCCAGATATGGCTCCCAAGCACTGAGCCACCATGTACGCGATTGCTCTCACCAGCGACACCTTCCTGGCCAGGAACAGCCCGAACGTGACGGCGGGGTTTATGTGACCCCCAGAAATGCCGGCGGTGCAGTAGACGAGGACGAAGATCATGCCTCCGAAGGCCCAGGCGATACCGAGGATGCCGACGCCTTCGCATGAGTCGGTGCCGTTGGTCTGGTGGTTGTACCCTATGACGGTGAGGATGGTGACGTAGAGGAAGAGGAGGGTAGCGACAAACTCGGCGATGAGGGCCCTGTAGAAGGACCATTTGCGAAGCTCGGCGGCGTCGTAGAATGGGGCCGGGGGTGGGTCGTAGTAGTCCTTGTGGGTCAACCCAGTTGGGACCTCGGTTTCGATGTCCTTGGCCATGTATGTGAGCGAGTGAGTGAGATTGAGGGGGGTTCTGTTATGTGATAAGGTTCATAGGGAACGAAAGAAGTGAGTATATATATATATATATAACGAAACATGCTTTTTGTTCATTAGTTTAATTTCTTTTATTTAAATTAGTTATTAAGAGATTTTATTCTTTTTTAAGAGAAGGTAAAAAGACATTAGGTTATTATTTTGATTTAGACTGTTATGATTGAGATATTATGAATATTTAATATTTTGTAATATTTTTACTCTATATATACACAGAGTACATGAATAGAAAGATACATACATGATATATGAGAAATACATATACACATACCCCTTTAAATATCCAACGAATTGGTATGTGAGCTTTGGTTTAACACAATGGAAGGAGAAAGAAATTTTTCATTCTAGTTTTTGGTGGCGAAAGTTATGACTTATGGGCGGTGAGAATGCAATCCTATCTTGAAGGATTGGATGTATGGGAAGTTGTAGAAGAAGATTATATTGTTGATCCACTACCTGAAAATCTCACTATAGCTCAAATGAAATCTCACAGAGAAAGAAAAATGAGAAAGACAAAAGTTAAATTATGTCTGTTTGCTAGTGTTTCACAAATGATCCTCACTAGAATCATGACGCTAAAGTCACCCAAAGAAATTTGGGATTATTTGAAAGATTAATACGAAGGGGATGAGAAAATTCGAGGTATGAAAGTTCTAAACTTGATAAGGGAATTTGAGATACAAAAGATGCAAGAGTCTCAAACAATTAATGAATAGTCAAACAAATTGTTAGGTATTGCTAACAAAATAAAATTGTTAGGCAAAGAATTTTCTGATTCTATAATAGTTGAAAAAATTCTGGTAACTGTGTCAGAGAGATATGAAGCATCAATTGTTTCATTGGAAAACACAAAAGATTTGTCTAATATTACTTTGGCAGAAGTGTTACATGCTTTACAAGCACAAGAGCAACGAAGATTGATGAGAAGAGATTATGCTGCTAGTGAAGGCTCTTTATTATATCATGATGGAGGTTCTGTCCAAGCCAAGAACAACAAAGGTACAAAATCACGAGTATTTTCTGTTTGTCCTTATTGCAAGAAAAATAATCACACACCCAACAAGTGTTGGTGGAGACCTGATGTGAAATGTCACAAATGTGATCAATTGGGACATATAGAAAAGATATGCAAATCACAACCAGAGGAAGTCGTTCAAGTTATAGAGGATAGAGAAGAAGATGTACTTCTCCTTGCATCAACATGCTCTACAATAAAAAAATCCACAGGTTGTCTAACAGACAGTGGTTGTACAAACCACATGAATGTGAAAGGTATAGTAACAATTGCAGTTAAAAGTCATTCGGGTATCAAATTGATTATTGATGTTTTATATGTTCCTGATATAAATCATAATTTGTTAAGTGTTGTTCAATTATTGGAGAAAAGTTATAAGGTGTCTTTTGAACACAAACTTTGTGTGATTAAATATACAAATAACTTAGAAATATTCAAAGTTCACATGAAAGGAAAAAGTTTCACTTTAGATTTGATGAAAGAAGAGATGATTACAAATGTAGATGAAGATGTTAAAGAGGAAAATAAAGATGTAGATGAAGAAACCGTTTTCAACGTCCATCAAAGAGTCAACAGTACTACCATGAAGTTTGAAAGAAACAAAGGAGATGAAGTTGATAAAGGAGATGAAGTTGATAAAGGAAGAAATATGTTGATGAAGAAAATGAAAAATGAAGATGTGATCTCATACAAGAAAGAAGATAACAAGAAGTATAAACAAAAAAGGAGGAAAAAATATATCAAATTCAAATAAATAGATATTAAAGTAAAGAGAAAAGTTAGAAATATTACTTTATTATCTTTTATTTAAATTAGGTATTAAGAGATTTTATTATCTTTTAAGAGAGAAGATAAAAAGACATTAGATTATTATTCTGATTTAAACTGTTATGATTAAGATATTATGAATATTTAATATTTTGTAATATTTTTACATAGAATATATGAACAAAAAAAAGATACATACATTATATTTCAGAAATACATATACAATCAACCCTTCAAATACCCAACAGATTTTGCTATACGATGTGCTGTGTGGTGCTGGCTTGAGCTTGACGGGTTAAGTGAAATTTGGTGGTTAACCAGAGTTTGCTTTTCCAACCCATTCCATGAATTAAGACAATCGCTTTCGATCTTTTTCACTGTTACTCTGCCCCACTTAACCTACCTATATACTTCTGTGCTACGCTCTGTCAATATAAAATTACTTAAATTATATATATTTTGTTTTTCCTTCTTCAACAGAAAGAGATATGTTCTAATGCTCATTCGTGATCGCATTCTATATTCTACGGTCATCTATTAATTATGTGAGATTTTGTAATACACTTTGAAAGTTGACAAAACTAAATTTGAGGAAAGAAAATATTTACATATATTTGCAAGTTGAATTAATACTAAATTTGAGGTTAGTCAAATTGAATACTTTATTTAAATAATACTTTTTCCAATTTAAATAATAGTCTTTCTATTTTTACTTTTCCTTTTTTAATACTTTCTCCCTTATCACCGCTGGAATTAAAGATTCTTTTACAACAATAATAAGTATATCATTTTTAAATAAATTTACTAAAATTAGTTAACATTATTTTGACAGAAACAAAAGAGTAATTAAATTGAAGAAAGATCAAAATCGAAATAATATTAATAATTAACGTTTCACAAAAAAATGAAAATACAAAACAAGTATATTTTCGTAGGAAGACTGATCCAGAGGTGAGTATGCGATAATAGATCTAGGTTTGGAACAATGGATTAAGTATGAAAAATTTATCTAGATATTGACAATTTACATATCTGATATGTTAAACTTTAATCTACAAATTCGCGCGTTAGTCCACGGATTTAAAATTACAGTATTTTAGGTTAAAAAAAGTTTAACATTTAATCAACTAAGAGGGATTGATAAATTTTATTTTAATAAAATTTAGTATTTAATAGATTTTATCTTAATAAATTAATAAATAGAGTTTATTTTAAATTGATAGATTTTTCATTTTTTTTTAGATTATTATTTACACTCACAAACTCGTTTAAAGGATGAATTTAACTTTATTGAACCAGGTCAAAATGATTCTCTTATCCACCACTGACTATAAAACTACAATAATTGTGAGATAAAAAATGTAACCTTACCAAAATAAGTAAGAAAAATTCAAAAAAAGTAATAAATAAAATTGATTTGGATTTTTTTCTAATTCATTTTTCTCGTGAAAGTTTCGGTTAGACATAAACCAAACTAATAACTCATCTATTTTATAAAATAATTATTATAATTTTAAGAAAATTAAGTAATATTATATATATATATATATATATATATATTATGATTTGCATATCAAGTTAAAATTAATATAACTTTAATTTTTAATTTTTATCTAAAATTAATATTATTATTATTATTATTTATTGTATAATATGAACCAAAATTACTCATCCATCTACCATTTTGGGTCAAACTTAGAAACAATAATTTTATTGTGTTGCTTAAATTAAAATTAAATATTAGGAAGCTAATTCGAACATAATATTTAAAATAGTCAATTTAATCTATAAAATTCTAGTTACACCATAAATAAAAGAAATGATTTATTGTTCTACTTCATAATAAAAAAAAACTAATTAATTGTTTCTCATGATTAAACTAATCCAAACACGTCATAAGACATTGATTAACAAAGTTAGACTGAATATAATCCCACTACCTCGAGTTAGACACATAAAGGATAAGAAGATCCATAAAGGTAATTTGTAGAAAAAGAAAATTATGTGATTCATTAATTACATCTTTAGTTGACAATTAGACCTTAATTTGAAGCTAATCCAATACCAATTGTAAAACTTATTTTCTTATTAAATAATATTGCTCGTAACATAATATTATAATTAGGTTACCAATTTCAAAACATACCATAAAACATATTTTAATGTTAATTTCATACTTCTTTATTTATTGATTTAATTATACGCAATATTAAAATAGATATATTTAGTGGCAATTAATATTTGAGTACAAATAATATTATTAACAAATAATAAATATTAAAATATGAAAACATGCTAAAATATAAAATATTTTTCTTATTAAAAGTTTAATTTAATATTTATAAAAAATAATTAAATAAGAGATCAAAATTATGAATATATAAATAATATATTTAATAATAATAATAAAATTTGGGAAATTAAAATCATCAATATACATGAGACTTAAAAAATTTAGATATTCAGATTTTCTCATCTCCCAAGTTATGTGAAAAATTTTATATATGTAAACTTTTTGTATAAATTAAATTCATTTATCTAAATAAAAAAAAATTCTCTCGCTCTTTAACAAAATCTTTTTAAATATTTTTTCTTTTATGGGATTTTTTATATTTTATTTTATCTTATCTCTTTAACCTATTAGTTTTAACTTTTTTACTTTTAAATTTAATTTAAATATTATTAAAAAAATAACATTATATAATCTAAAATTTTAATGATATAATTCTATATATTTAAACATATTTATTTATTATAAATCCAGTTGTATAAAATAAGCATTTATTCTCGATCATGTACATGTAAATCTATTTGTTTTTTCTTAGAAAAGTATGTTTTTTTCAACAAATATTTTGTATCCTTTATTTTCAAATTATCAATTCTGTCTTTTAATTTTTTTAAATATAAATTTTATTTTTTATATTTAAATTTAATACTTAGTAACAATATTTACTCAATTAAATGTCATTTTGATATTTTTTTTATAAAATTTAATATATAGTAAGTTTTTTTATTGATATTAAATTAATACTTTTTTAAGATTTTATGAATTAAGAACGGAAATATACTGTTATCAATTATATTTTATACTAAAAGTTTAAGAGACGTAAATTGAGATAAAATTTAAGAAGGTGATATGTTTTTGATGGATATTACCTTA